TGCCAAGTAAAAAAGTTAATTTCGAGCCCTGTAATGTATGTATGCTAATCTTAAATCTTTAGCTTAGTTTGTCAACCAGGCTGCTTGTTGCTGTAAGTAAATTATGGGCCAGGCCAGCTAACGTTTCTGAGGGTACAGTTGTCTCGTGTTCTCCTGTTCAAAAATAAATGTTTTTAAATCAAAACTTGCATCAGTATCATGGATCAAAATGTCAGTACACAAACCCGATGTAGCCTACGGTTTAAAGGTATTTGAGCACAAGTAGGCCAAATGCATCAATTTGGTGTTGAATGAAAGAACCAGTCATTATTATAATCTGATTTGATTATAGATTAAAACACTATTTGTGCATGTTTATATTCAAATAATAATAAAAAAAATGTGTAGGGGGCCCACTGACATTGAGAGGGTACAGGGCCCAGAATTTGGTGCTACGCCCTTGGGTGTCATATATGGAACATATTTTAAAATCATGCAAAGCTGTCTGCTAATACATTTTTTCAATCATCATTGGAATTTAAATATGTGCATTCAGGGCTTTACATTAACACCCGCCAACCCGCCAAATGCGGGTCGATTTCAGCTTTGGCGGGTTAGACAGACATCTCCACTAGCCACTTTGTCTGGTTGAAAATAATTTTTTAATTTTGGTTTTCTTAAAAGCAGAGTTCGACTAGAAGAATGACCCAATATGCGTGCAAATGTGATCTTAGAATGGAGAAACAGCACGACTAACTAAAATTGCATTCGCGCGAGAAGAAGAAAGCAGATGAATACCGAATAAGAGGATAATCACTTGCGTTAACAGCTGATGTGATGCGCGCTCCTGTTTCCTTCCTTGAAGCACGCGTGCCTGGAACACAACTGTGATCGGATCTCTTTCAAATAGTCAAGCAAAAAAGGAATGCTAATGCACACACAGACACAGTCTTGATGCATTCAAGAGCTCCAAATATGTCTGTTTGTAGGCAGCACCGGTTGCTTTCGCTTTGAACAGATTATTAATTGGCCTTAACCGTCTGATCATCCTTCCATTATCACAGTATGTTTTTCAGCTGCTTTCTTTTGCTTACGGTTATTTTAGTTTTTTATGGCTTAGTTATCAATTTTTACAACAACATTTGCTTTAATATGAGATTAACTCTCTATTTATGTGTAGTTAACTGATCTGAGAGACCTTCAGCAAGGACAGATTACTGTGCATATTTTTGATACATGACAATAATTAATTTATTTAAGTCAGTTGTTTTTCTTTGGTTTATTAAATTAAATGTTTTGTTAAATAAAAAGTATACAGCTACATTTATATTGTGTTGACACTTTTAATATTTGTGGCTAAGAAATAATTTTTAATTTTAAATTAAATAAATTTGCTAAATCCTTAATTTTGAGTTCTGAAAAGTCACGTGAAATAAAAACTAATTGCAGTATAACACTATGAAACCCATTTGCTCATACACGACACACAAAATGTGAAATGAATGAGAAGGCATGTGGACATAACACAAAATACTAACACTAAATCAAGTCATTTTAGCATGTAAAGTCATATTTATGCATATAAAAATATTTTCCCAACAACAAAGTTGTGGCTAGTGAAAATGCAGAGTGGCTAGTAACGTTGGAAAACTACTAGCCAATGTGGCTGGTGATCAAAAAAGTAAATGTAAAGCCCTGTGTGCATATATGTTCAAACATAGATATAGTCATACAGTCTACCCTCCTGTTAAACTGTAATTATTTTATATTTCTTCCCCAGGTTCTGTTTAATGGAGAGTATATTTCTCAACACATTTCTAATCATAATAGTGTTAATAACTCTAATCACTGATTTATTTTCTCTTTGTCATGATGACAGTAATTAATATTAGACTAGATATTCTTCTAGACACTAGTGTTCAGCTTAAAGTGACATGTAAAGGCGTCACTAGGGTAATTAGGGTAAAGTTAGGGTAATTAGGTAAGTCAGTGTATAACAGTGGTTTGTTCTGGAGACAATCCAACACTATATTGCTGAAGGGGGTGAATAATATTGACCTTAACATGGCTTTAAAACAATTAAAAGCTGCGTTTATTCAAGCCAAGCACATTTATAAAATTATTTCTAATACTTTTGAATATATTTGAAATATATATATATATATATATATATATATATATATATATATATATATATATATATATATATATATATATATATATATATATATATATATATATGTAAGAGGACATTTTTGCAATATTTCAAAATACATGTTGCATATATGACATGTTTTACATATGTGAAATCCAGATATGAGCTTGTATGTCATATATGTAATATGCATGTTTTGTCTTATGGGTGGTAATACGAGTGGGCTTTCTTTTTGAATATCAAAAGTCTTTGAATTAATATAGACGTAGCTTGAGGTCACTGACAAGTTCATGAACAAAAGACGAGAAAGAACATAGTAAACCAGTGGTATCGAGCAGAACAAATGAACCAGACGTTGTGCAGTGAAATTCCAGTCATTAGTTGCGTTTCCATCCACATAATTGTATGCACATTTTGAAATATTGCATAAAAACTATTTAATGGTGATACCAAAATTTTGAAAATGCATAAACACACGCAGACAACTAAGTAGGATAAACATTTGACCAGTCATTCATTTTCCTTCAGCTTAGTCCCTTATTTATTAAGGGTCACCACAGCGGAATGAACCACCAACTATTCCAGCATATGTTTTACGCCGCGGATGCCCTTCCAGCAACCCAGTACTGGGAAACAACCATACACACTCATTCATTCACACACACACACTGCAGCCAATTTAATTGATCAGTTCCCCTATAGCGCATGTGTTTGGACTGTGGGGGAAACCGGAGCACCCAGAGTAAACCCACACCAACACGAGGAGAACATGCAAACTCCACACAGTAACACCAACTGACCAAGCCGGGACTCGAACCAGTAACCTTCTTGCTGTGAGTGCCACCATAAACATTTTATTTATTCATTAATTTTTATTCAGCTTAGTCCCTTGTTTATCAGGGGTTGCCACAGCGGAATGAACCACCAACTATTCCAGCATATGTTTTACACAGCGGATGCCCTTCCAGCTTTAACCCAGTACTGGGAAACACCCATACACACATACACTACAGCCAATTTAGTTGATCAATTCCCCTATAGCCCTATATACTCCACACAGAAATGCCAACTGACCCAGCCGGGACTCGAACCAACGACCTTCTTGCTGTGAGGCGATCGTGCTACCCACTGAGCCACCGTGTCGCCAACATTTTATCCAATAAAAAAGAATAAAATCGAAAATGATGGAAACACCAGCAGGCGCATCAAAAAAGTTGTAACAGATCATGTGATGATGAAATGAGCATAATGGGATGTCATTAATGGATGAAGCAGCGTCTCGAGCACAATGTAAAGCAAAGGAAATGATGTTTTGTGCAGAAGTTCGGACAGAAGTGCTGTTTTCCCTCCAGAACAGTCTTAAAGGGTCATGAAACACCAGAACACATGTGTTGAGCTGTTGACAGTGGTATATGTGTCCCACACTGCTAAAAACACTATCAGGACACCTATATTTCACTAAAAAGTGTAAATTGGTTGTTTTTGCGTTATTTCAAGCAAATTCATACTTCCGGTTTGAAATGAATTTTTGAAGCTGCGTCACGGTCATGAGATAATAGCGTGTATTCCAGCGTGCAGACTGGACGTCTGTGCCAGAGTGTGTCTTATTACGTCTTACAGTGTGATGCATTAATGCATGAGTAAGGCTTGGTTCAAACCAATCAGCGCGCTCTATTGTGCAACTTCATTAATATTCATTACTGTCACAGTGTTTAGACGACAGAGACGCCACGTTGTGTTGGCAAAACAAGCGTGAAGTGTTGCTTTTATAGTTTGCTGCAGTGAAGTTTTGTTTTCATTTTCTCTCTGTGAGAGCTCAGCTGGAGTCACGTGTGGATTAACAGTGTACGCGACGCTCGACAACAATAACTTACGTGTCTAAGGAGGATTATTGTTTACCTGAGAGCTGTTCTCATCTGCAAACGCTGAGATCCGGATTCACTTGTAACGTTAGTCTCCTCTTCATAAAGACGCGGCTCTAGTTGCTGGTGATTGTTCTGTCTCTACAGATTTGGTAAGTGAGTGGCCAGTGCTCTTTGTTTATTCAGTTTGTTCGTATCGAATTAAGTTAACTATTGCACTGAGTGCAAACATAGCACCGCATTTTGAGAACGGAATAACACACGCGGCTTTCTGACGCTACCTGCCGTGTGCATCTAAGTTTCCGGGAAATGCAGAGTTTTTTTTTCTCTCATTCGCCGTGCGGTATCAAACATTGCATGAAAAATACACGCTTAGAGCAGCGCCTCGAATCAAATATCTCGTTTGTCGCGAGGAACATGAATGAATTCCCTGAATGAAAGAGCCAAACTGCAGTTAAAGTCCAACATTTAATAATTTGGCAAATAATTCCACTACAGATGTCCACGTAGGTTAAACACCATCACTTTCTACTGTGTGAGTATTTTGACTGAAACTCGCGCGTGCCCAAATAGACACTCCCACACCATCCCACTTTAGTTCCTCTGACACTCCCCCCTAAACAGAGCTGGACACGCCCACTTTTCTGACTTTTTCCAAAGTAGAGGTGTGAAAACACCCTGCTGAAACGAGGGGGTTTCATGGCCCTTTAAGCATCTGTCCGTTTGGTCTTCATCTTCTGAAGCGCAGCTCATTTATTAAAGGAGAACAAACACCACAGTGGAGAATCCCGACAGTGCAGCAGACTCCACTCCTCTAGCTATATTAGTGCAAGTTTAGCAAGAACTCTTTGCCTCAAATGCTGCTTTAATGGCAATATTAGCAATTTGCCAAGTTTTATGCAATATTTTAAGTGTGCGCACAAATCTATTTAGCATCTTTGGATGGAAACACAGGTAATGTTGAGTGTGTGTGAGTGTATAAATAGTTGCCGGTTTGTTTGTCTCTACAGCGGGTTGTCGATGTTCCAGACGTCTCCGCTGAGCGCATTAGCAGCGCCCTGCAGTGTCCATGTGAAGAGCGCTAGCTGTTTTCGGAAACGGGCTTCATCGAAGCGATGCGGCTCCAAGCGCAGCTGGTTCAGGTGATCGGCCAGAGAGCTCATGGTGTGATCTCCACGCCCCAGAAACACGTGCCGGAACGGCGTCTCCACCACCGACACGTACTGAGACAGAAAGTAGTACTCAACCTGGGAAACACATCAATAATAAAAGAGCTGTGGTCATTCTGCCATTCTTACTAGTCCCATGTAGGTATGGGGCGATAACTGGTTTCAAGGTTCAGTCTATATTGGAGCCTTTTCACTATAAATGATGCATTATTTGAAACATAAAATATTTGGAACGACAACAAAGCAATAATCTATTGATAATTGAATTATTCTGTGTGTGTATGTGTGTATGTGTGTGTGTTTTCACCCTAATGATGCGTGTGTTGTAGAGTCGGGCCAGTTTTTCGTCCTGCGTGTCGCTGTTTTTGATGGCCTCCAGCAGGTTTTTGGCCGCTCTGCTGTAATCGCCGCGTGCGCTGAAAACCCACTGCGGAGACAACCCTCGAGACTGAACACAAAAACACACACACACATTGTTTTGGCACTGGTACCATTTTAAAAGTATGACATGCATCTATTTAAGAGATTTGGCATCAGTATTTTTAAAAGTTTGTATTCAGGCACCAATTTGGCACCAGCACCTGTTTAAAAGCAAACAGGTCTCGATTTTAAAGTATTGAAATCCTAAAGTTTTGGCACTTGCTCCATTTTAATCGCTTTAGCACAGGTTCATTTTTAAAAGTATCGATTTGACACTGGTACTGCTATAAAAGTATCGATTTGGCACCATTTTGACACTGGTACCATTTTAAAAGTATCAATTTGGCACCAGAACCATTTAAAAAGTATCAATTCAGACAGTGTTTTGACACAGGTACCATTTTAAAGGTATCGGTTTGGCACCGTACTGTTCTGAAAGTATTCATTTAGGAATTGTTTTGACACAGATACCAATTTAAATGTTTCAACTTGGCATGGTATTTTCAAAATAGTATTGATTTCGCATCACAGGGACCACACTGCCAGCCATTGAAGACATCCAGAAGAAACACTGTCTGCGCCGAGCACGCAGTATTCTGAAGGACACCTCTCACCCCGCTCACATACTGTTTTCACTCCTGCCTTCCAGCAGGCGCTTCAGGCTCCCCCGGACAAAAACCAGCAGACTGAGGAACAGCTTTTTTCCCAGAGCTGTCTCCCTCTTGAACTCTGCCCCTCATTGACTCTTTTACCCTCCAATACACCCCCCACTCTCCTCTATACTTCTCACAATCATTGCACTGTTTAACATTTGCACATTTAAAATTTGCACATATTCATTGCACTCCATTACACTGATTTACTTATTTGAACTATATATACCCACTACACATGGACATTTGTAATTATGTTTATATATCTGCACACTTCTGATTAATAATAGCAATCTGTACATATATTATAAATCTGTTCATAGTTAATACAACCTGTATATAATGTTTACAGTACATCCATCTGTAAATATCACTATAGTTTTCTATAACTGCACTTTATAACTTATACCTGTATCCTGCACTTGCTGCTATTGCACTTCTGGTTAGACCTAAACTGCATTTTGTTGCATTGTACTTGTACATGTGTAATGACAATAAAGTTGAATCTAATCATCTAATCTAATCTAATTTTGGCACAGGTACCATTTTAAGTTTATCAATTTTCCAACGCTTTGCCCTTGGTACCATTTTAAATGCATCAATTTTGTACCAGTGATATTTTAAAAGTATCGATTTGGTACCGTTTTTGCACTGGTACCATATAAAAAGTATCATTTTTGCACCAGTACTATTTTAAAAGTATCAATTTGGTACCGTTTTAACAGTATCGACTTTCAAGGTCAAGGTAAATTTTATTGTCTCCCGTAAGAGAAATTTGTTTTATAAAAAAGGTTCTGCTGTACACCAACAAGTCAACATGTAACAAACATACACATTAAAATCTAATCCTAAAATACCTCCTAATATAAATACGATTCCATAAAATCAGTAATTTTTAAAAAACATTTATAAAAATAAGATACCATGTGCCCCACTGCCCTCTGTTGTGCCAACCAATCCAACTACCTTAATCTTTGAGCATCCTACCCTACTAGCTTGATTTAGCACCAGTACCATTTTAAAAGTATCGATTTCGCACCAGTACTATTTTAAAAGTATCGATTTTGCACCAGTACCATTTTAAAAGTATTGATTTGGCACCAGTACCATTTTAAAAGTATTGATTTCGCAACAGTACCATTTTAAAAGTATCGATTTTGCACCAGTACCATTTTAAAAGTATCGATTTGGCACTGGTACCATTTTAAAAGTATCAATTTTGCACCAGTACCATTTTAAAAGTATCGATTTGGCACTGGTGCCATTTTAAAAGTATCGATTTGGCACTGGTACCATTTTAAAAGTATCAATTTGGAACTGGTACCATTTTAAAAGTATTGATTTCGCACCACTACCATTTTAAAAGTATCGATTTTGCACCAGTACCATTTTAAAAGTATCAATTTTGCACCAGTACTATTTTAAAAGTATCGATTTTGCACCAGTACCATTTTAAAAGTATTGATTTGGCACCAGTACCATTTTAAAAGTATTGATTTCGCAACAGTACCATTTTAAAAGTATCGATTTTGCACCAGTACCATTTTAAAAGTATCGATTTGGCACTGGTACCATTTTAAAAGTATCAATTTTGCACCAGTACCATTTTAAAAGTATCGATTTGGCACTGGTGCCATTTTAAAAGTATCGATTTGGCACTGGTACCATTTTAAAAGTATCAATTTGGAACTGGTACCATTTTAAAAGTATTGATTTCGCACCACTACCATTTTAAAAGTATCGATTTTGCACCAGTACCATTTTAAAAGTATCAATTTTGCACCAGTACCATTTAAAAGTATTGATTTGGCACTGGTACCATTTTAAAAGTATCAATTTGGAACTGGTACCATTTTAAAAGTATCGATTTTGCACCAGTACCATTTTAAAAGTATCGCTTTGGCACTGGTACCATTTTAAAGGTATCGATTTTGCACCAGTACCATTTTAAAAGTATCGATTTGGCACTGGTACCATTTTAAAAGTATCGATTTTGCACCAGTACCATTTTAAAAGTATCAATTTGGAACTGGTACCATTTTAAAAGTATTGATTTTGCACCAGTACCATTTTAAAAGTATCGATTTTGCACCAGTACCATTTTAAAAGTATCGATTTTGCACCAGTACCATTTTAAAAGTATCGATTTGGCACCAGTACCATTTTAAAAGTATCGATTTGGCACTGGTACCATTTTAAAAGTATTGATTTTGCACCAGTACCATTTTAAAAGTATTGATTTTGCACCAGTACCATTTTAAAAGTATCGCTTTTGCACCAGTACCATTTTAAAAGTATCGCTTTGGCACTGGTACCATTTTAAAAGTATTGTATTCATATATTTAAAGTTATTCTAGCACTGATAGCAGCATATAGCTGTTGTGTTTACCTGTAGCTGTGCAGCGTGCTGGCTGAGAGTGGAGCTGAGCTGCTGAGCGCTGCTGCTGTAGCAAGACACGTCCAACGGGAGGATGTGATCATGGGCCAGTTTGAGGACCATCAGACCCACCAGTTCACCCACAGCCCGACCCACCGAGCCCAGACGCCCTTGCAGGAGTTCCTGCAGACGCCCCACACTGTCCAGCTGGGTGTTGACGAATGGGTAAGAGCGAGCATCCTGCAGACACAATCACCAGCACGGGTGAGAGACACAGAAAATGTTCACACTTACTGTCTTTGTTTGAAGCTGCTAACATCTGTTTTGTAAATCTGTTATGTATATATAAATACCTTTACATACAGTTAAAGTCAGAATTATTCGCCCTCCTGTGATTTTTTTTTCTTTTTTTTTTTAAATATTTCCCAAATGTTGTTGAACAGATTCAGAAATGTTTTACAGTATTTCCTCTAATATTTGTTCTTCTGGAGAAAGTCTTATTTGTTTTATTTCGGCTAGAATAAAAGCAGTTTTTAATAAATTTAAAGCCATTTTAAGGTCAATATTATTGGCCCCCTTTAAGCAATATTAGTGTTGGATTGTCTTCAGAACAAACCACTGTTATACAATGACTTGCCTAATTACCCTAACTTTACCCTAATTACCCTAGTGAAGCCTTTAAATGTCACTTTAAGCTGAATACTAGTGTCTTGAAGAATATCTAGTCTAATATTATGTGCTGTAATCATGACAAAGAGCAAATAAATTAGCAATTAGAAATGAGTTATTAAAACTGTTATGAATAGAAATGTGCTGAACAAAATCAGCTCTCCATTAAACAGAACTTGAGGACAAAAATATATAGGGGGTGAATAATTCAGGAGGGCTAATAATTTTGATGTCAACTATGTAAATTTGCCAAAAAAAGCACTCGGGTCACATTTTTAAAAACATAATAAACAAACATAAACATTAATCAGACACTGGCAGCTTTTAGGGTGCTTTCACACTAGAGTTGGTTTCCCCTCTTGGTGCGGTTGGTTTGGGCAGGTGAGAATGCAGCAATCGCACTCGAGTGCGCACCAAAAGCGGACCAAATAAGCGTACCGAGACCTGCTTGAAGAGGTGGCCTTAGTACGCTTTCAAACGAACCCTGGAGCGGGTCGTTTGTGGTGAGAATATGATCCGAACTAAAACAGGTCCAACCACAAAAAGTACTGCGCCTTTTGGGCTAATTCAGCTGCCGTAGGCCGATGCGCTGTGCATTATGGGATATGGAGGAAAAATATTTGTTGACAGCGCTTTACCAACAGAGAGAGAGAGAGAGGGGAAAACATATGGAATGACATAGGTTTGACATGACATATGACATGACATATGGAATGAACTCCCTAACTGCATCAGAACAGCAGAGTCACTCGCTACTTTCAAGAAACGACTAAAAACTCAACTATTTAGTCTCCACTACACTTCCTAATCTGTAATTGCCTCTCTGAATATCACACTAACTGTACAAAAAAATAAAATAAAAATAAAAATACTAATACTACTAATACTTCCCTTCTTAGACTTTACAGACCTGAAACTTGCTTATAGCACTTATTCATTGTTGCTCTTGGTTGTGTAAATTGCTTCCTTGTCCTCATTTGTAAGTCGCTTTGGATAAAAGCATCTGCTAAATGACTAAATGTAAATGTAAACATTAGTTGATGGATCGTTGGTAATATTTCAGCAAGATGAGCATGTCGCAGTTTAGCTAAATCAGTGGTTCTCAAACTGTGGTACCTGTACCACTAGTGCTACTTGAGCTTCCTTTTAGTGGTACGCGGAGGAATCAAATATGTCATATGTACATTAGCTAAAAAATATTTATATATTAATGTGATGACATATAGCCTATATTTACGAGGTCCAAGCAACATCTTCAGGTTTTGATGAATAGGCTACTATATATCAATACTTTACATTTAAGTACAGGAGCTTTTTTTACTTGCTAAAAACAGTAGTCTACCATTTATGATTAACTTTTAAAAGCACATTTCAATTGAAACGTCTTCTTTTGTTTGTTTGTTTTTTATATATATATATAAGCACAGTACAGTGTTATTGTTCAAACTATTTATAATGTTTAAAGTGGCTGATAATAATAAATATTCTTAATAACTGGAATTAATCTGCCTGTTTTGTGAACTGTGCAGTGCTGTAGCTTCTTTACTGGGCCTACTACGCTACTGTAATTTAATTCTACTCATTATGGTGGTACTTGGAGAGACAATTTTTTTCTGAGGGGGTACTTGGTGAAAAAAGTTTGAGATCCACTGAGCTAAATTAACTCACGCCTCCTCCTGAAGAGACGAGCGATGCATTAAACACTGTTTTCCAGCCGCGCTTCATTCTCGAAATGTATAGCTTGTCTGAAGCAGGCATACAATCAGTCGGCGCAGTCGTCCCTCCAGAGTAAAAAGCGTAATTTTGTGTCTGCCAGTTTTGTTTACTTGCGGGAGTTCACTGGCATTTTCCTGCACGTGAGTTCTGACCAATCATTAAGCAGTTTAGGAAATATGTTCAACAACATCTGGCCAATGAGAGATGTGGGTTTTGTCACACAGGCCCGGCGCTACGGGGGGGCAAAGGGGGGCATTGCCCCCTCAGAAAGAGTTTGTGCCCCCCCAGTTTTTATAAAGGATTGTTCACTCAAACTGAAAATTCTTTCTGTCATTAATTATTAACACCCCCGTCGTTCCAACCTTAAGAACACAAATTTAAATATTTTTAAATATATGACATAGCAATTGAATTATGAAAATGGTGAGATTAAAGCTAGTCCCATAGTCCAGAGATCCGGTCCCCGCGTCAGGTCAGGTGCGCCCGTAAATAGCCTTTAAAACGCGCACACGGCGATGGAGGCGCACTCAACTCACAAGGGAGAAAAGTGTGTGACATGATAGGAGCAGCTTAATTCATTACTAGCTTTGGTTAACTAATTATTTAAACACAACTCTCTTAAGCTCTAAAAGGAAAAAACACATAAGAAACTTGCTGTTAAATTAATTTTAGCAGAGACGCAACTGCCAGTCATTTATTAGTAATTCGGGAAGATGTAGCCTAATAAAAATGTTTTAATAAAAATAAATAGCCTAGTTTACTGCACAGTCCCACAGTAGGCTACACTATAAATAATATTTTAATTTATTTATTAATATTATTATTAATATTATTACAATTTAGCTAAAATTGACAAAACGCAGAACTCTCTGAATGTTTGCTTTCATTTTGCTAAAAAGTGCACTTTTACAGTTGTGTAGAGAAACATCCCATTATGCAGCAGCAGTCAAGCTATAACACATAATAAATGCCTTTTGCGTTTATTAAGTCAAGTTTGCAGTGTTATAAATGGAATATAGTGCTTAAGTGGATTTATCGCGGATCAACCGAGAAACCTCTCACGTGCTGCAGGTAGGCAGAATGATAATCTTTTAAAAACATGATGGTTTACAATATCACGAAAAAAACACACTTATAATAGCTTAAGATAAATCTTTGTTTTTACATTTAAAATTATGAGAAAAAAAAGTTATATAATGTTGAGTTGCGTGTTATCCGTGCCAAAATATAACCAATTTTCACGGTAATAACATGTGAATTTTGGTATCTTTTTTAGGTATTTTTCTGGCTACACCAATACAATAAAATGAAACAAATTAATTGTTTTAAATGACATTAGATTGTAACATTTAGCTTTTCCCTAACCCTGATGTTGGTTGGATAATATATAGGCTACGTGAAGCGTGATGACTCGGTTAAGCTGATTTCACTATATTTATTTACCGGTTATGAATAGTCTGATCGTGGGTCAGCTTGCATGCGTGTTTTACCTAAAACTTTAAACATTCATAGACCTGTTATTTAAAATAAAACGGAAATAAGGAGAATAACATATGATTTAAAGCACTCGTTTGGCACTGAAGCCATGATCCGTCTGCATTAATAAGCGGTATGCATTACCATCGTTAATAAAATTCATAAAAGCGAAACTGCATATTGTTATTACTATTAAAACGTAGCCTATATTACTGCCTTAGGTCAGTAACTTAGGCAGTAATGCAAAGTAATAATAAATGTGAATAAATAGCCTAAATGAAAGAAACAAGAGACCAAAATCAGTCACCAGGTCTAGTGCCCCCCTATGGATTAAAAGTGCCGCCTCAGTTTTGACTTCCTGGCGCCGGGCCTGTTGTCACATGACTGCATTTTGGTTTGTTTCAACTGGTTCGGAACAAAGCCAGCAGTGTGGTGTGAAAACGACCCAAAGACGGCAGAAAATGCAACAATGCATCATTTATTTCCCTTGATGCAGACCAAATGAAGCGAACTACAGATGTGAAAGCACCCTTATAAGGTTAATTAGTTATGAACGCAGTCGGTTGCTGGATTTACCTCAGTGAAATGCAGCTGCATGGCAGGAACTCCTCCAAATGCGGTGAAACTGTATGCGCCACTGTTCAGATACAACGGCTTGACTCTGCAATAGAGATGAACGGTATGAAACTGTCATATCATGAATATAGTGAACAATGACCTAAAACTGCTCAGTGTCACACTAAATCTATCAGATGTAAAGTCTAAAGGATTCTGACTTAAACTGTATATGAGTGAACCAGAAACAGTAGATCAGGGGTGTCTAAACTGCGGCCCGCGGGCCATCTGCGGCCCGCAATCAGTTTTGTGGCGGCGCGCGAGGCTTTTTATAAATTTCAATAGAATCTGGCCCGCTATACAGAATTGAACGTAATTCAATAAATAACCACAGAGTGTCGCTATCAAATGCATTCAATTAAGCAGCAGTTCTTGTTATCATGTAAAATGAACCGGCCAAACTGAAGGACACATAATGGATAACATTTTGATTCACATTTTGGCGAGCCATGGTGCAACCAAGAAAAAGGAAAATCAACAGTGAGTGCAGGAAGTTTCAGTCACGTTGGGGCAAAGAATATTTCTTCACAGAGGTCAGTGGGAAATGTGTCTGTTTAATTTGCCAGGAATCAGTTGCAGTAATGAAGGAATATAATATTAAAAGACATTATGAAACAAAGCATCAGGCCTTCAGCTCTTACACCGGTGCCGAACGAGATCAAAAACTAAAACAATTAGCAGCGGCCTATCAACTCAATTTATAAAGGAATTTATAAAGGATGAGTGTTGCAACTGTATTTTGCCCAGAGAAGATTCAAGATTTTAAAAACATAAGTCTTGCTAGAAACACAGTTTGACGACGAAATAAAATAATTACATAATAATACACACATCTATCTATCTATCTATCTATCTATCTATCTATCTATCTATCTATCTATCTATCTATCTATCTATCTATATATATATATATATATATATATATATATATATATATATATATATATATATAGATATATATATTCAGTTGAAGTCAGAAATATTAGCCCCCCTTTGATTTATTTCCCCCTTTGAAATATTTCCCAAATGGTGTTTAACAGAGCAAGGACATATTCACAGTATGTCTGATAATATTTTTCTTCTGGAGAGACTTATTTGTTTTATTTCGGCTAGAATAAAATCAGTTTTAAATTTTTTATGAACCATTTTAAGGTCAAAATTATTAGCCCC